CGCTGGCCTTCCTGTTTGCTCTGCCCCCAGCCCTGCCAGCCCACCGGCTGCAGGCACAGCCTTATAAGGAGTCTTCTCCTGGGTTCAGCCTCCCCCTCCTGTGCAGAAATCAGAAATCGCCTCTGTGCTTTGCCAGCTGAGAGATGTATCTGACCAACAACAGGCCGGCAGGCCCCAGCAGCCCCAGGGCAGGCGGGACTGGGGAAGGGGCTTGTCACAGGCAAGTGTTTGGTGTGGGGGAAGCCACACATTTTGTTCCACAGGCAGCCCGGGAAACCGCAGCAGAGGAGGAGGCTGCAGAGTTTCTCCTCCTACCACCTAAAGGGGGATTTTCCCACCGTGGCAGTAGCAGCATAAATAGAAAGGCATCTGCAAATAAAACAAAGGCAAAGGACAAGCTGCAGAGCAGCGCCTGGGCAAGAGCAGCTGCAGGGCTTCGAAGTGTTCCCCGTTTCAAGCACCGAGAGCTGCTCCCTCCCCTCTGCTGGGGTCTGGGCTGGCCGTCAGTGGGTGGGAGCACGCGGCGCCCCAGCCCAAAGATCCAAGCGCTTGTCTCTCCCTTTCCAGGACTGGATCCCACTTCCCAGGACCTACCACTTGTCATGTGAGACACTTTGGCGAGCTTCTTCATGACATTATCAAGCCGCGACTGAGTACTGTCTAACTCGTGAGAGAAGTCATCCAGCATCCTGGGGACAGAGAAGCACAGCACGTGTCAGGAAGTGGCACGTACCTTCGGGATTTCTACGCGCGCTCACACACACCAAACAGAAACACTGGTGTGATCAGTGTATCACACCTTGGCAGAGAAAATTAACATGGCCAGGTCTTCTGAAAGCACCCAAGGGAGGGAAAATAACCTGCTGAAGCAGTGGTTCTGCTTTGGTGGGAAGTGGGAAGTCATTTGTGACTCCTGTCAGACTGGTCCCCCCTGTGTGTTTGCAGCTGAGCTCTATGCACCCCTGCAAGGTGAGGAGAGTGGGGTTTCCTCCTTTTAAGAGGAAAGTCTCACCTATAATCTGTGATTAGCAGAGGCTGCTTAGAGAGATCTAGGTGCCAGCTTGGACTTTAAAGCTCTTTTCTTGTTCAGGGCTTGCAGTTGAAGCTAAAGACTTGTTCCAGTCATGTATCAAGCAGGAATGAGATTTGCAATTGCTTTTAAGGTGCTTTTTAAGCTCTGCATGGAAGTTACCCCTCTATTTCCTCCACACAGCAACTGTAATGAACCTGAAAGCCTGTGCTTTGTCAATGCCAAGAACCCATCTGAAGAGAATCAAGGTATCAATCCAATTGAATCCAGCCAGTGGGACTTTAAAGCTTAATACATTTAAAAGGACAGCTTCCTTCCTTTGGAGTTCTAGGGCACTTGTTAAACCTTCATTCAGTGGGGAAAAGGAAAGGATTGCAAAAAAGTCATTGCAGCAGTTATCTGCTATTGTCTAGCAAGCACTGATGGCTTATGTGATGACCTGGAAACGGACCTACCACACCGATCTGCTTCCATGAGATCAGAAGACTCTCACACTGCAAGACTTCATACGGGAGGTGGGTTTAAAGTTCCTCCTCTCCATCAAAGAAGACATCACTTCACAAGGGGCACAGCCCTTCCAGCCTCCTATCAGCCAAACAAGGAGGGGTTTTAGGCATGAACCCTTCAAGCCTCCCTGGAAGTGGTGGCTGTTAGCTTGCTTAACTGGAAACTTTATGCTCTTGTTTGCAAAGGACTAGAATTGGGAAAAAAAAAAAATCTAATTTATATGTAAATGATGGATGTAAACTACTTTGCGAGCTACCCTTTAACCCTTTGCGTGGGTGAGGGTTATTTTTAGCTTGAACTATGAATAGCAGCCCTGTACTGCATGTTGCAGAGTGGCAAGGCAGAGCTAGGAACTCCCAGGTCAGTTATCCAGGGGCAGCAGAAAACCCTGTGGAGCAGGAAAGCACCCAGTATTCCCATTACACAGCCTCTCGCTTTCATCTGTTGGGTACTGCTGGCTGCCTGAAGCCAAGGAGCTAACTGTGTGCCTTAGGGGGGGTGTGTAAAAGGAGAGAGAAGAAAAGGTAAACTGGCAGCTAAGCCTGCCCTAGGTGCAGGCTTTCAAATGAACGAGGCTGCGGCTGGATCCTTGCAGGCCGCAGTAAGAAATGTTTTCCAGTGCCTAAAATCAAAGGCCAGCTAGGAGAGGCTGCCTGAGAGACTAATAAATTCAAGGCCCTACCAGCGGCAGAGATATGTGTGTGAGGACCTCCAGCTGTGTTGCAGCCAGCCCCACACTGAGATTTTGGCACCGTGTCTCACACTCACACTGCTTGCTCCTCCAGCTCCCCGCCGATGCGCTGGGACATGTTCTTCAGCACCCCGATGCTGCCAGAGACCAGCTCCAACTGCTCATCTTGCTGCTCCACAATCAACTGCAGCCAAAGAGAAGAGAAATGGGCAACTACAGGTCTGCCGCCTCCTGCAGCTGTGTCAGAGCCAGCCGATCGGGTGGACAGGCACTGGCTGCTTGGCCAACATCAGCTGGAGAGCCCAGGCACAGACCTAAGTCACCAGGAACGAGGACCACATTCCTAAGAGACGCTGGAGAAGCGACAGCTGCAGGAAAGCCTCCCCAGCACAGCATGCCCATGGCACAGCAAGCTGCAGTCTCCTGACATCCCTGCAAATCCAGCCTCAGCTCAGCCATGCTCCCTCCCTTCCCTGCTGCACTCACTGCTAAAGCAGCACTTGAAAGCCACGGGGGCTGGTCACCAAAACCTCCACAAGCCACCCTGCCCGCAGCAGGTACAGCAGTGGGCACCGGGGAGCCACGCCGATGCTGCACCTGGGAAATGCAACCTGGAACATGCTGCAGCTAACAAGGGGTTAATGCAAGTAAAAAGCTGTTGCAGCTTCTACAGCTAAAAATAGCAAGCCTGGCTCTGAATGTGCCAAAGGAATAGGTCTGCGGATGTTTCAAGTCATTTTCAGGGCACAGTCACGCTAAGGATTAGACTTACCCTAGTTACCTATTTCTGAATCTATTTATCTCCCTAGAGTCACTAGGTAAAAGCCGGGGCGGTGTCACGGGTCAGGAGCTTTAGCAGAGTTTGCCACCTCTGAGAAGCCGCCTGACTAAAGGCCCGTGTTTGGGTGGGCTGCTGCACACGGGTCTGCACTTTGCCCAGGAGCTTCTCCGGGAACTTCTCCAGGCGACTCCCCTGGCAGCGGGGAAGCACCTCGCCAGGGGTTCTCGCAAAGCCCTCACACAGGCTTTCTCACGAATCTCATGTTGACAAAGGCAGGAAAAGGAAGCAGGCACGTGCTCCTGCTCCTAGCCTCTTCTGATGAAGATGCACACAAACAACAGCAAACACCAGCTCATTTTTTAACCAGGGGAAGTTGCATAAGAGAAACGGGCTCTTTTCTGTTTGCAACATTTCTGCTCTTCCAAGAGTTTCAGCAATCCTTGTAGTATTAAAGCTGAGCATGCTACAGCTTCCAGATCGTGTTTGCCTTCTGTACAGAGCAGCAGACCCAAGATTCAAGAATTAAAAACTCTGTGCAAAGATGCATCCAAAACTGTGCTGTACAGGAAGTGCAAGCACAGGTCTACGCTGCACGCAGAGAAGAGGGCTGTCAGGCTCCGCGATCGAGACCAGCCAAGGGCTGGATTTTTTTTGGCTCCTGCAGCCTGTACCTCATCCTCCCCCCGGCACCCATTTGGCAAGCAAAGCTATTTAGCCCGCATGGTGCCAGCTGCCTTACCTGTTGTTGAGCTTGCTGCTCCTCGATGAAGTGTGAATTTGCTAATTGCAGCTCCCGGTCCAGACGGCTGTATTTGTCAGGTCCAGAGCTCCAACTCTGACTCCCACTTTCTCCCAGGAGCGCCTAAACAGATGCAGAAAGTCCTTAGCAACACCCTTATGTCTGCTCACAGCCTGTCTACAGGGTGTAGTAGGAAGGCAGACATGGCAACACTCCTCCTGTACACACGCATACAGCATCCTTTTCCTCCTGCTCTACTGCTACTCAGCCAGAGTGCTGTCATGAACCAAAACAAGGCAACGCCAAAACACCCGCCTGGGAAGTCTCTGCAGCCTGATATTGCAGATATGCCTCTCCAGCAGCAGGAGCGCTGGAATGCAACGGACAGACAGCGTATGCAGGAGGTCTGCAGAGCACAAAGGACCAGCAAAGGTCTGACCAAGAGGCAGCACTATGTGCTACGACACGTAAGCTGGGAAGTATCTGGATATGCTGTGTTAATAGATGTAAAGCTCAAACTGAACACTGTGCTACTAATCACAGGGGCTTAAGAGGGTCTGGATAAAGTACTTAACCAGTTGAGCTGACAGTAAAATAGTGCAATATATAACCACAGCAGTGTTGCATCCTCATGTTCTTTGATTCAGGCTACCTCTTTCTCCAGCACATTGTTCAGTTGCCGGCATACAAGATTACACTTGCTACCTGCTCTACAGCCCAAACAGAGAGGCTTGTGCCAAGCCCGCATGACTTTCCAGCTGAGTAAAGCTGGTCCCTGGAAGGGGTATAACACGAGCAACAGATGCTGGAGAACGAACACGGCCCGCAGGTGAGGAGCTGCACCCTGCAGCGCTACAACAGGTTAGGGAGCTCTGCCCACCAGCATGGAGGCAAGGCCGACTTGCAACGAGACAGTCTTGCAGCTTCTGGTTGTGGGCAGGAGGGGACGACCGAGTATTTGTGAAGAACAGCAAGACAATGACCAGGCTGCTCCAGCAGGCTAAAAACAAGACAGTCTTTACAGTTCATCTGCCTTACGAGGTTCAAGGAGGGGTGAGGAAAGCTGACGGACCGACCGTGCAGGAAGCCAGCAGGACCTCTGGCTTTGCCCCCGAGACACTGAGCAAGCTCCTGGTTCTCTCCAGTTCGTGGCAAGCGCACTACCGCTTATTTAATGTGGTGCACTGGTTTTGCTGCAGCGTCAGGAAGGCCTGTTTGTCAGCCTCAGCCTGTGAGGGCCAGGTCGCCAGCAGCCAGCCTCTCGCACACAGAAGCACGCTGGAAAAGCTGCTGCAGCCCAGCCTAGCACAAGCTTCGTGGTCTGGAGGGAAGGCGAGGGGCTGGGGAAGGGAGAGGAAGACGGCAAGGGGAAGTCAGTTTTCCTGACCAGATGTTGCCACGTGAGCTGGGCCATATGGTCTCCTGCAGCTAGCAGGAACTTCGCAGAAAAGAAAGCAGCAAAAGGCAGAGACAGCTACAGACTTGTTTAAGCAAGGGTGTAAGGGACTTTGCTTCTTCAGCTGTTTGCCAAGCATGTCAATCAACCCCGTAACAAGCTCAGGAATCAGCTCTGTGCTTCTCAGTAGCTTGTTGCAGTTTGTCATTTTTGCCACAAGTGGCAAGACTGATGCAGCCAGGTAAGTTCCTCATACAAAGTGCAGCTTTTACTGAGGCAGCTCTGAGATCTCCTTACAGCCTCCCCGTCGGCTGGGGAGGAGCACAAGCCGCATCTATTTCTATTCCTTAGATTACAAGTGCAGACAACTGAGACTCCCTGAGCTTCTTTTATCTTCTTACACGGCTAACTATTACGAGAGGCAGCTGTGTGAAAGGATATTGCAGCATCTCAGCTCCTAAATACAGCGGAGCGCAGGATTACATTCACTGACATGGATTCTAAGTCTGAGGAGGAGGGAGATTCCCCTTCCCGCGGGATGATGCAACACTAACAGTTGTACACAACCAGATCTGAAGACACAGATGGCAAGTGCTGACTTACGGCTTTGAGAGGCAGGCTTGGAAGAGGGTGGCAGTACTGTGCCTGCGAGAACCAGCTCTCTCAGATCAGCAAAACAGACGTGGTTCAAACATGCAGCTTTGCACACAAGCCCCTTCCCAGAACAAAGGTTTTTAAGGGGATGAACTACAGACAGGGTATATGTTGTAACCATAGCTTTTATGCAGTTTTGATCAACACTATACGCTCTACCTTACGATGTGGGGCCTCAGAGTAAGTGAAAATGGAAGTTTCAGCTAACACATACCTTAAAACCACAGCTGCCAGAGCTGATAAATCCTCCTCACTCCTTAAAGTACCAAACAGCCACTGCATCCACTCAACTTGCCCATTTCTGGTTCTCACCTGCCTGTTTTTTCTTTCAGCCAGTGCTTGCATGGAGGAGTTTGACATCTGATCCTTCATTTCCTGTTTGTTCAATGAAAGAAGAATTATGTGAGCATTGGATTTGAGGTGACAGGCAGTTTCAGGGTGCTACAGGACTCTCTATGACCAGCAAGGCTGCTTTAGGGGCAGTGAGGGAAAGGAGATTTTATTTGAAAATGTACAGTTGTGAAGAGTCTGGAAGGATATTGTAGAAAGCTTCATCGCAGTTCATCGTTTTACTAATACTAGAATCTACGGCAATGGGATATTTTGAAAATATTCCTTATTTACCACTCGTTTTATTCCACTATAGCCAGAAACATTTTGATTTGTATAATATTAAACTAATGTTCCCATTAATAGACCACAAGGAAGAGTCATATTCTTCGAGGTCTTGGAAGCCTGTAACCCCCTGCACTTTATTCGCAGTTGCATCTGGTTTTATGCTGCATAGGACAGGACAGATTTCCTGCCTGTGGCTACGCTCTCCGACTGTGCCTACATTTTCTCTTTTATCAATTAAGTTTCGCTGTGGAGTTCCCGTTGAAGACTGCTAGCCACAGAAGGCTCCTCATCATAACGTAAAGTAGTCCAGTTTTTACAGGGTGGATTACCAAGTAGTCAATATGATCCAGCAGAGATTGATCCATCATCACAGTTCTGATGTCACCAGAAAATTCAGGTATGTTTTACTGTTCAGAGATCTGTAATACATCACCCAAGGCCACCAGATCCCACTCGGTTCCTTCTCACCGGCTAAGGCACACTGTGCTGTGCGTCATGAATTCTCCCCTGGAAACAGGAAGTCAGCTGCATAAGGCCACTAATGAATTTCATTTAACAGTAAGGGACACTGCTCCAAAACCCATTAGCCAGCAATTTTCAGCCAGGAAAAGAGGACCACAGAGCAGGCTTGTCTGATCCTGCCCATTTGGGAGCGGACTACACGGAGGACAAGGCAGCGAGCACACGCCTGCTACCGGGGCCCAGCGTGGTTTCAGGATCAGCTCCCAGGCAGCAAGCCTTAGGAACTGCATCCAGACCGCAGGACCGCAGGTAGGGTAACAAGCTTGCTGCCAGCCACAGCAATGCACTTGGTGAAACAGGAACATCACAGTCACGAGGGGCAGCAGAAACTAAGCTACACTCCATGTAGCTAAATAGAGAAGAAGCATCTTCCCTAAAGCTTCACTGCCTGGTAACAAGCTGCTAGTTAGGAAGTTCTGTCCCTATTAATATTACCACCAAGTTGTTAAAATCCTCCTTTTGCTTCTGAAGTGTGAGCTTAAACTAAAAATAAATCTTCCCCAAGTTAAAAATAAATCGAGTGGTTGTTTGGACTGTTCCGTAGCGGTAGGAAGTTGAAGTCACCATGTCAATAATGCTTTAACCACCTATCAGTGTTCAAAGTGGACTCTGTTTTTGAAAACTAGCACTACAAAAGCACGGGACAGTCGCGATTTCCTTCAACTCTGAAGGGAGGCTCCAGCCTTCCCTGCATTGCAGCGGGGTCTTTACTCTTCCTTCTCAGTTTCTGTAGGTTCCCAAGCCTGCTGTTGCAAGAGAGGTGTGAAGATTTAAAGGGGCAGCAGCAGAAAAGCAGGGTATGCCATGGGGTGCCTGCATCCTCACAGCCCCAAATCCATCTGGGCAGCCCCAGGAGGGAGCATATGGGGAAGAGGAGGAAGCCTAAGAGAGCAAGTAGCACGTTTATTCTCTGCTCTCCACTTTGGCACAGAAATGGCCAAAAGCTTTCCTTTTCTTCACTACCTAATCCCTCCCCCTGCCTTCCCCACACTCCCACCCCAAGCCCACGTTCCTTACCCTGACCACCTGCCGCGTGCTGGTGATGAAGGCTTTCCTGATACCCAGCTCTGTCGCATCGAGGTTGAATTTCCGCGGGTTTGCCTCAACAATGCGTAGGCAGCGAGTCAAGGAGCCCCCGTCAGCGGTGTCAGGCGCGCACAGAGATACGCAAACCCCGAGCATGCCGCAGTGGGGGTCTGACACATGGCCATTACACCGTGCCTCTTCCCAAAATTTGATTAGCAAAGTATGAAACACTGGAGGAAAAAACAGGCACAGCAGGAACATACTGTGCAGGACACGCACCAGTGTGAGGTTTCTCTCTTGTGTTTTTTTGGTTCTCTGATGCTGCGCAGCGCTTTCAGGAGCGTTCAGATGAACACAAGGGAAAAGGAGTATTTCTGGAAGCCAGCCTAGAGTATGACTGACTACACAGAAATCCAAATTTGTACAACACAATAGGCTTTCTAGAACAAAGCATCTTAGAATATACCTTGTCAAAAGGAAAACAAAAAGGCAAAAGGAAAAGCCTTTTGCTGAACACATTTGCCTTAATTCCTCAGTTGCCGTTTGAGAAAAGCTGATGTAAATGTAAAATTCAATCCCAAACAGTCCTGGTTTCTGCAAAAAGTAACTACTGGCAAGCACTGGTACTCAGCTATTTAGTACAACTCGGGAACCGCATGCCCCCACCTCCAAAGGACCACAAAAAGGATATTAATTGTTTCATCCAAGTCTTCCAGGTCCCACTCGATGCTGCGCAAGTTGTTCCTGAGCTCATTAGTGGTCCAGTCAATTTCTTCTCTTGTCGCGATGGACGGATCTTGCAAGAGCTCTGTCCACCTCTGGAAGAGGCCCTGGGCAGTGTTCACAGCTTTCTGCACCTCCCTGCAGCCGGGGTGATTAAAGAGAAGCGAAGGGATTACCATCAGTTGCTCTGCAGCAGTCATGCCAGAACAGCCCCATGTCCAGCCAAGCACGGAAGCACAGCTTTCTCCCAAACATATTTCCTTCCAACGACTTTTAGTTTATTTTGTAAAATAAGGATTTGCCCTGCCTGCTGGACAATCCCGTCTCTTGTTGCAGCACTAAGGGCTGAGCAGCAACAACTTACAGGTCAGCTACTAACGAAGGGACCTATTTCTTTAGGGGAGGTTTCTGTCAAGTGTCACACAGGCAAGCCAGGGCAGAGTGTCTGAACAAGGCAGCTCTTTGGCAATTAATGTTTTGCATTCCTCTCAACAGCTTTCCTCTGAAGATTCTTGACTACCTATGTAAGATACCCCAAGGGCACACAGAATTACAGGAACTGTCCCCACAAGACAGCCAGGCAGACTGTTGAGTGCAGCATTGTTTATTTTAATGCAGCATTTAAAAAATACACAGCTCTACGACGCTGGCTTAGGGAACTGAAGTCTTTTCTGCTGCTCTAAGCATTTTGGAGATGAGTGCATTCACAGCACGGGAAGGCAGGCTTTGCTGACAGCACCGAATGCTGCTTTGATGGTTTGGGGCAAGTGGGTCTGTAAGTCTGGGTCATGGTCCATCAGCATGG